CCTCCCCTGTCTCTCTTATCTGCTCCTTGTATTTTTTGCAGAGTGGTCATGGCGGATCACGCAGTTGTGTCTAAATCCAGTTCCCAGCTACTTAGCCCCCACCAGACCCACTCAGTCCAACACAAGAGCGAAAGAGAGCATCCCGCCCCCCCTTCCCCCCAGACCCCGGCATGAACCCATGTATCACACAGCCAGCCATCACAGTACAGTACAATGGGCACATGGACAGTTATTGTTTGTTTGCACTATTTATGTCAATGTACAGACTGCAGCAAATGGCACCGTAATGCAATCATTCATTCTTGCCATCCCGCGCTCCCGTCCATTAGGCTAATGATATTCTGCAACCGTCCCGGGCTCTCTGGCTGTTGAAATCACGAATGTGAGAAGTAGGAGAGAGTATGGGAGGCCGCTGCTTAATTGGAGCTCCGTGATCAAATTCCAGCGTCTGAAGCTTCTGCCCTGTAGTGCCCTTGAGCAACAGAGAGAAAGAATCCCAGCAGCTTCCTGTGATCTGACAAACATATGGAGTGTAGAGAGCGGACGGCAACAGGAGATCAATAAAGTATTAAAAAAATAGGTTTGATGCTGTCGCTGCTCCTTATCGTTTCAAAGCACAGATGCACCTTCAGTGACATTAACCCTCCATTCAAAGACCTCTGAAAAATCTTCACCAGTCACAACAGAAGCAACACAACGCTAGAGGAAACAGGACAGAGTTTATGTAATTCAACAAGACTACATCCAAATGAATATGTTCCATTCTGAAATGCATTGCTTTTGTTACGTTTACCACTAGCATCCACACTATATTGGCCTTTTACTGACTTCATTTTGTAATATAATAAGCATAATGTACAGATAAAGGTATTTGGTCATAAAACAAATAAGTGTTGACCAAGATCTTTAGTTGTCATCATCTGGGGACCATGACTGTCCATATAAACTATTGTTAATTACGTTTTTGACATGCTGGTGGCACTAGAAAAAAATTCAGCAAACATTTGGCTGCAGAGGACTGGATAAAGATTATCAAAATACATTTGCAAGTAAGATTTCCATGGCTGACAAATGCCCACAGTGAGGGGAGTCTCTTTGATTTCGGCTCCTCTGATTCTCTCCTCTGATACACAAATAGCATCAAATTGAGGCGATGTTCTGTCAAATGAATTACTAATTATCACCATACATCCTTTTTAATCCTTATTTTGTGGACACCATTACAGCTGAATGCCAGTGTTATCCCAAAGCATTACAGATGATTTGTAATGGAACTCTCATCGTTGTGGACTGTCAAACATTTCAGCCCAAATCGTCCTGACTAAAGTGCATTAAAATGCACAGACAGTCAAGCTATAATTACTGGGCAAAAATACTCCATGCCTTAATCCACATGGTAATAACGCAATTAAAGTGGTGTTTCTTGGACTTGGTAATCTTCTGTGACAAGGCTTACAATTCAATTAACCCCGTTTTAACACTTTGTTTCAACTTCCAGTGAGGCTAATTTGCTTTAAACTTCCTTCAGTTGCTATAATTATGCCTTCAGAAAGTCCAATTTCTGAATTATCAGTTGTTTATGTTGGGGAAACACTTATTTTCAGTGGATGGGATCTTCTCTTATGCCTGATGCCTAAAAGGGAATTTCTTAACATAATGATATCTTTGTCATTTATTATCATATGCTGTCTTTATTCATCACCACTGAGCTGTTGTATGATTGCGCTGATACAAACAGTTCCAGAGCTGAATTTGGAAAACACCTTTCAAATTACATCTACATTTCTTGGAACTAGAAATAGTCTTGTATTTTCTTTGGTTCTCTGAATGCATCACTATAAGAGAGTTTCTACCTGATACAATTTCTGATAATCTCATAGTACAACCAGAGCGGCACTCCTCCTGACGTCCACAAAGCCAGCCACGGATCCAACCCATTTAATCACGCCTTTCTTGTTCTCTTTCTAAGCTCATGCTGGCTGTGACATATTGAGCCGGCAAACTTTCCATGTTCTCTCAGAGAAGGTCATTGGGCCAGGCCCAATCTAGCCTCTGAAACTGAGCCAAGATTTCCACTGCTGTCGTTCAGATTAGTATTAGACGTGAGCGCCTTTCCTAAGCAAATCAGACAGTGTGAAGGACAGAACCGCTCTTCCATTCAAGCATGCCTGCTTCTTGTTAAACAGAGACAGGGCAATAAGTTGTAGGACAAAGGGAAGTTTGTGGGAAGTCTTCCCACTTTGTGAATACTTTTTCTTTTAAATGTGACAAGCCGGTTCGCCATTTTAGATTAGAGGCAATTGTATTTCACCAACTAGGACTATAAGAGCTGTCTATGGACATAATGTGTGTCATTTTGTTGGATGCTGCGATAGTTGTGAGTCATTTGTCTTGTAATGAAACTTTTCAGGTCACATGTTTGTACCAATAAGTGCATTTTTTGCATGCAAACGAGGCTTGCTTACATGTACTTTTAGGAATTACAGGCATGTCATTTTTACTGGGGGACACTTCTGCACTTTGATGAATGCAACATGATACAAGGACAGCAGGATCTCACACTCTGTGCCAAAGGACTCTGCAGGACTCAGTGTGCTGCCCAGATATGTCTGCACTGTGAATCTGACACCGTTTGGGTATAAAACGTGACATACTGTAATGCAAGAGTTTTGTTGCGAGCGTGAACAAATTTGGTGGGTGAATTGTTATTGATTCAGCTCTCTAACACTTGGAAGGACAAACTTGCACCTGGACTCAATCAACGCTGATTGGAGAGTGGCAACGTGCCTGCACACATGCGCACGTGCACACACATACACACAGCTGAGAGGACACAGCTCTGCACAGGAGCAGCTAATAATCAAACTTTTAGACTTAAAGCTAATGTAAATCCCTTCAAAATGTCATATTTCACTTTTAAATATCCAGAAGCATGACATGATTTATGGACATGACCAGTGGCGGCGCCAGAGTATTTTTGTTGGGTAATCTATGGTAGGGCTAACCCATACAGTGGTGGGGCTCAAGTCAGTATTTGCAATGTAATTACATACACGTTATATCGCCCCCCTTGACAGTGAAACACCACGCGTGAGGTTTAGATTATTTCTATGTCTCAATCCAAATTGAACTATATGAAATAAAAAGGCACATTTGTCTTGTAGTAAATAAAAAGGGCGACCTGGAGCCAATCCTGCAATTTCCCCACAAGTGAAAGAGTTGACATGCTGAAAACCCAACTCCTGCATGGGGGATTTTCCCCCAGGAGATTTTTTGAAATACTAACATAAAATACACATTCTGGTACTCAGTACCAGAATGTGTATTTTATGTTAGTATTTCAAAAAATCTCCTGGGGGAAAATCCCCCATGCAGGAGTTGGGTTTTCAGCATGTCAACTCTTTCACTNCTAGTAAGATTGATTTCAGTAGCCACTTGTCTGGAAATCCCGTAGACTAGAAACGGTTTTGAAAACTTTTGTCACGTAGTGATTGTCTTCTCAATAGAACTTCTTTGATAATGTCTTCTGGCCAATCAGAATCACGATAACGGCGTGGTGTTGTTGCAGGAAGCCCCGACGGAGAATACTTTTGCTGTAGTACATCTCGATATACATCGGTACAACTATAAGACCCCACGGTTTGATGATTGATAGGTGTGTGGGCTGTCTTTCATTTTGACACACAGAACAATGGGGGCTATCCACCCTTATCCACAATGTAAAGTACTTCACACAGCCTCTTCCCTCTTCTCTCTGTGAGGAGCAGCAGGTTCAGCTTTCAGAACAAAGTAACAAAAAACAAAAACGGCATTCATTTTTTTAAATATGTCGTGTAGTAATAGATTTATTTATTTTTCTTCTAAAGAGAGTACCAAAATGTGTATTTTATGTTAGTATTTCAAAAAATCTGGGGGAGAATCCCC